TTTTTTTAGAAAGCTTACCGAGTTTTAGAAAAAAGTAACGATTTCATTCGACATTTCCGTTACAAATACTTGTACTTTTTCCCTAAAAAAGTAACGAAAGTACAAGTAAAAGTACTAAATTTAAAAAGTAACGAAGTACAAGTAAAAGTACGTACTTTTTACTTGTACCGGCGATACAAGTAACGGAAGTAAAAGTACTGCCATATATGGTTAAGACATAGATCATAGAGTGTTAATTTATAATTATTTCGGATCTGAATAACCAGAGAATCATAACATAACTTATCCTTTCATTTCACTGGGAAAAAAATGTTAAAAATAAGGCGCAAATGCTTAATCGTAATCTTAATAATTATAATTTAAAATAATTTCAATAGTGATCTTTTGTTAGATATTAGATTCATTTTTTAATGAACAACAACAGGGCCGGGATAGCCTGGTTGGGGCACTGAGCCCATGTCCTAGAGGTCGTGGGTTCGATCCCCGTCGAAGACTTCAGTGTAGTAAATGGTGACTGATGCACGTTAAATCTGTCGAGTCACAATGTCCCCATGTTCCCATAACAAATCCTACCTCTGGGGGTACTGACCCAGGAGTTTCCTTGTCTTCTGGATTGGATTCAAAATTACAAGGTTACGGAATTGAACATTAGTAGTCGTAAACCCAAAATTGAGTCGACTGTTCAAAGACGGTTATAAAATAGAATTATAAAATGTTAACGTACATGCAGTTTTCTGTTAATATAAACTGAAATAAGAAAACTTTAACGCTTTTTCGCACTATGTTGAAAATAACTTTTGCAACTTCACTTGTTTCTCTCAGAACAGTAATTTGTATTTTGCAGGCACGATAATTTTCAACTAATCTGATTTGAATTTAAGTAAAATCTATGTCACTAATCTGAGATAGAGCGAGGGGTAATAGTTAAAATGATATTTAAAAAGCATAAAAAATAAACTTGTGCAAAAGTAAGAAAACCAACTCTTAAACAATCAATTGCAAATTTGAATCGTATGAAATATAAAATGAATTATCTTTCGAATTTTGGAAAAATTCTTGTTAGTCTGACTTATAAGTAGATTTTTCACAAAAAAAATTACCATGTTTTTGAAGTTCTTTATTTTAATTTTAATTATAAATCACGGTTTTGAATAATAATTAAAATAAATTTGAGACAGAGTAGTTAAAATTAAATGAATCAACAAATTCAGAGTGAGTTTTAATAATTTCTTTGAAAATTTCTCGATAAGCAGTAATATAAATAAATACAAAATTTCATATCCGGTTACATTTTTTTTTGCATTGCGGGAAATTTACTTTCAAGAAGTCCATAAAATTAAAATTTCTAAGCACCGTTTTTAAATTTCAAACAATGTATTAGATTTTAACTTGATTCATATTATAATAGTAATATTCGATTGTTTAATAAGCAAAACAGAAAGATCCCTTATATATTATAAAAATTTAAAATATGGGCATTTAAATTCATTTTCATGACAATTTAATAAAAAATGTATCAAAATTTGTCATGAAATTATGTCTACCACTGCAGCACAATGTACAATGGTATGTAAATTTAAAATCTAATGTGATGAAAACAATCACAATTTAAATATAAAGCGATTAAAAAGATATTTTTATGACTTTAAATTGTAGAATTTTGGCTTATAATTTCTTAAAATTGAACTTTTTCCACAGAAATGTTGGAAACGATTTTAGTTATTATCCGTACACATCATAAATACAAAAGAAAAGAGGTTTTAATAAAGTTCAAAATGAAGAATAAAACAAAGAAAAATGAAAGACATATGAAAAAAAGGGGGGAAATAATAAGTAAAAAAATAACAAACAACAGTTTCTCTTAATGAGTGA